ACAGAGAATCAACATGTGGGGCAGCTACCCTACAAACCTGTGCTGTCGAAATGTCCTCCCCGTCATGTCCCAAGCCTTAGCCATTCATGCAATTAAGACACAGGGGCAGGGCAGTGTCTTTCTTGCACAAGAGGAATGGCAGAACTGCAACGGCCCTTTACATATGCGGCAGAATTTGTCTGCGCAACAGTGTGGCTTTGATGACCTTAACAGTGGAAGTAGCCACTGCTCCGGCACAACTCTTTCAGGCCTTAGGCAAGACCAGCCCTTCCTAGACGCACTAAGCAACTGCTCTCAATTTGGCAATGCATTTGATAATGTTTGCAGAAAATGCACCGGGGCATTCTCAGCTCTGAGGGAGTATTTATTGAAAAAGTATAACGTGAAGGACGAGAACAAAACTGAAACAGCCATATGTGGTGTAGCAGCTATGATTTCTATTGCAGCAGCAAATATGAATGGTTCCTTTTCGGTCGATATTGACTACATTCGGTGTTTGTCTATGTTAGACACGTTTGGTATGAAACTACTTCATGCTGCTCAATCAAAATTTTCAACTTCTAATTGACTTGATCTTTATTTCTATTCTATGAGCTTGAATTTATCTGTTCAATTTGTGTTTTTGTTTTTGTTCCACATGCAGAACCAGGTTACATCAAACTCAAGTGTAAGTAAAACTAGTACTATTTCAATCTACTTTATTTCTTGCAAATTCACTTACAAACTTCATGTATACTCATAGAAGTTAATCATTTAACCTATCAGATTCTTTGGTAGAAGCGATATTTTCAATCTTAATAGCCATCACTGCAGTGATGCTGATCATCCTGCTGATTAAATATGTGAGCAAGAAGAAGCCTAAAAAACCGGTTCAATCAGGACCAATTACTACATGGTCTGGCCTGTATAGATTCTCCAAGGCTGAGATTGAGAATGCCATAAATTTTGAGAGAAAGGACCTCGGAAGAGGAAGTGCTGGTCAAGTTTATAAAGGTGTTCTTCCTAGTGGACAAGTCGTGGCCATTAAGCACATAAACAAGAGCAATACTTCTGATTCTTTTACACGAGAAGTCGAAGGTCTTTCAAGGATTCGACATCCAAATTTGGTTTGCCTCTTTGGTTGCTGCGTTGAAGATGGCGAGCAATTTCTCGTGTACGAGTATTGCGCAGCAGGGAATCTAGCTCAACACCTCCTAAGTAATTCCTTTGATCTTTATGAATTGCTAGATAAAACACATTTAATTCGTTAGCATGTTTGAAATTAATTTTCTTTAAGGAGCATGACTAGGTGAGAATAATCATATGTGTGTGTGTGTGTGTGTGTGTGTCTTTCTCTCTCTCTCTCCTCTCTCTACATTGATCAGGAAATGATCCTGTCTTAACATGGGAAAGAAGAGTTAAGATTCTAAGAGATTGTGCGCTTGCTTTGAGGTATCTCCACCACTATATAGATGGATGCATTGTTCACAGAGATATTAAGGTAATAATTGATTATGATATGCTTCTTTGGTCTACACTACAGTTAATTCCTCTTGATCCATATTATATTGATGTTGTTAATGCATTTCTTTTTTTTCTTTATAGCTTACCAACATCCTTTTGACTGAGAACTTGGATCCCAAGCTTTCTGATTTTGGGTTGGCAAAGATGTTGGGGATGGAGGAGAGCAAAGTATTTACAGATGTCAGAGGAACCATAGGCTATATGGATCCAGAATATATGACCAATGCCAAGTTAACCTGCGCCAGTGATGTCTATAGTTTTGGTATTGTTTCTCTGCAACTGCTATCAGGGCAAAAAGTATTTGAGCTGGATCTTGATGCTAGAGACCAACTGACAAGAAAGGTACACCCAACTTCATTTGTGCCTAGAGCTAGAGAGAGAGAAAGAGAGAGATTAATGAATTCTGTTTTTTTTTTTCGGTTCTTCTTTGCAGGCAAAGGATATAAGTATGAACAAGCGCCCACCTGAGGATCTTGAGGACCCAAGACTAAATGGAAATGTCAACAAGGTGGACTTTGAATCAATCCTACAAGTTGCAGTACTTTGTGTTGCCAAATCAAGCAAAGGTCGCCCAACAATCGATCTCGTGTACGAAGAGATGGACAAGGCTTGGAAGAACACTCTTGCTGACATGGTTAGGCACCAGCCACTCAAAACTTGCAGCCATTGATGCTATAGGTTATTGTTGTACTAACCATGCTGATAAGTATTTTCTACTTTTGTTTGAGTGCAGAAGAAGGCAAAGAAAGGGATGAGTTCCTCAGCAACACCACTGTCTATATCTTCGGATGTGTTTTCAGTTTGACGTGCAAAGGTTCATGATCAACAAGGTTTTGGGTTGTTGGCTGGCGCTGTTTTAGATATTTATTGTTCAAGAGTAAGATTGGTGTTTAATTATTAGGAAATAACGATGTAATCAAGGTTGATACTGCATAGTAGTTGTCGCATTAATCCTAGAAATCCTTGTCATGTACATATAATGTACATTTTCCTTGTTATAAACAAGAAAATATATAGAATGCCTTTTCCATTGGCATGAGAAAAAGTGAAGCTCCCAAATCACAAACAGATAAAGAAGAAAGATTCCAAGCTGATTAAAGAAAATTGCTTAAACTTGACAACTTATGAGAGTAATTAGGTTAACTTTTCTTTAATCATGCAGCCAAACAGAAACCAACCTAGAGAATAAAATCTAATTGGATTCACAGGGGCCTCGTAGCCAGTCACACTCAAAAAACAAAGCAAAGCAGCATCACCGGCTAGCCACTATGTTATGTTACTCTAAACTTTTAGCACGACCATTATTTTTGTTTGAATGTGTGGTCGAGATTGAAAATCTAACGACATTGAACTTTAGATATCTTGCAAAGTTTTCCCCGATCGGGTCGATCCGCTAGCATATATGGCAGCAAAAAATAATCGTCATTGAGGTGAAAGTAAGTTAATTAGTAGATGAGATCCATGCATGTGTGGTGCTTAAAATCCCACGCTAAAATGTTAGCAAAATTATACAAAGATTAAGGGCAAACAGGCCACTTATAGAAACAGTGTTGTAAAAGCCGTCTCAGTCTTCAAATGGAAAATGGATTCAAAAGTGTATTTGATGTTGCTTCTGTGAAAGAGCATCAAGGCATTAATTTGAGGTGTTATTTGACGGCAATAATTTCTCTTGGCAGGTGGACACGATGTAACATGACGATATCTGATAAGTTAGTCGTTGCATTAATCTACGTAGCATAATAATATCTGGGCAAGCCATGATGCTTGCAAAATAACCAAGCCACCTCTTGCATGGTTTAGGTTAGGACTTTAGGTATTTCTTCAGTCACATATAATTAATAAAATCAGGTTTAATTTGTCACACGTATTTCGTAATCAGTTGGCCTAACCTAATTCTTATCTATCTGGCTTATAAAATGAAGTTATCTGAAAGATGAAATGTGCTTAAGCTTTTTTTCAGTTTCTAAATTACTACATATGCACTGAAAAGAGCTTCACCAAAAGAGAAAAATAAAAAATTAGAAGAAACTATACAAAAACATCTTCACTAGTCATCATCACCAGCAGAAAGAATGAAGTTCTTGAGTAATGAACAACTGGCTTTCGTATTCGGTCTCTTGGGTATATATATCTCAATTTTCTCTAAACCGTTTCTGTGTTTTTAGTTGTTTTTTCAGTAATTGAAAGTATAAAGAATGCTTTTGCTTTATTAAAAAGCAAAAACACCACTGAAAACATCATCAAAATGTTGCGAAAATATTTATATGGAACATCTTTAATTTTTGTTAATAGTCCTAAATTTATATTTCATACTTATAAGTTGGTTTACTTTAGATTCCTGTTATCTGATTCTGACACAACCTGAGTATTCATAGGTAACATTGTGTCATTCATGGTATTCTTGGCGCCAATGTAAGACCCTTCTACTTTTGAAAATGTTTGCCCTTCACATCTCTATGAATAAATTGCATTAGGCTAACAGTTTCCTCCATTTCTCTATCTCTATCTCTCTCAGACCAACGTTTTACACAATATACAAGCAGAAATCATCCAAAGGCTTCCAATCCATACCTTATGTGGTTGCCCTTCTTAGTGCAACGCTGCTATTGTATTATGGTGTCCTCAAGACCAATGCCTTTTTGATCATCAGCATCAATGGCGTCGGATGCGTTATAGAAATTATTTACCTCATATTCTACATTGTATACGCATCCAAGAAGGACAAGGTCACTGCCTTTAAATGACGATTTTCCGTCTATACATTTTGTTACTGACATGTTATCGATAATAATATGTTTTTTAGAAAAACAAAAAAAAAAAACATTTGAAGGCTATTTTTGATGGAGATGTCCTGCTTCTACACCTTGTAGATTACTACAATGAGTTTGATACTGCTGGTGAACGTAGCGGCCTTTGGGTTGGTGACGGCGGTCACAGTCTTTCTTCTAGGAGAAGCCAAGCGTCTTAGCGCCGTTGGATGGATGTGTGCTGTGTTTAACATTGCTGTCTTTGCTGCTCCTTTAAGCATCATGGTAAGTTTTCTCTTAATTAGTTTCCACTTATTTCTTTAAACCTAGCATTATGGTAAATTAATCAGCTGACATGTATTTTACATTATTGCAGAGGCAAGTAATAAGAACCAACAGTGTAGAATACATGCCATTTTCTTTGTCATTTTTCCTCACACTTTGTGCAACCATGTGGTTCTTCTACGGCCTCTTCACAAAGGATTATTACATTGCAGTAAGTAAACTAGTACCAACTTCTAATTTCATTTCTTGGGTTTGACTTGAGGCAAATTAATTCATTGCTATGCTATATTAATTTGACACGGTCATTGGATGGCCAGTTACCAAATGTGTTGGGATTCTTATTAGGCGTCGTTCAAATGATCCTATACCTCACATACAAGAATTCAGGGAAAAATGATGCAGAAAATAAAGGCAGTCAAA